ACTATGTCCTGAACTTGGAAGTAGAACAGAAGCACTAGACCAATTAAGTGGGATGTCCTTGAAACCAACACCCTTTAGTTGTAAACCAAGAAACCAAATCCCTTCAAGTGTTGGTTGTACTTACGCAGCCGCAGCCATGATGTTTTGCTATAGTTGTTGTAAACTTATCACGCAACTTATTTCAACTCTACTTTTTACGTTTCAATTTATTAACCGAAAGTAAATTAATGCACTATGCAACTCTACCTTTCACGTGTATAATTTCTCCATTATCGTAAGCAGGAATTCATCCCTCCATAAGCAATAACTCTTATGTCCCTTGGTCCCAACCCTGGTAACCACTAATAAACTTTGGTTTATTAAGAAAAATTAATACCAAGCTAATCCCAAGGTAGTGAACATTAAAGATGTCCCTAATGTCCAACTTTTCTTAGATGTTATACTGCTCCATTTTTCTTCCACTCCTCCCCTTAGCATATTCCCTCATGTTCCTGGGCTCTGCAATTTGGTGCAACATCTCACAGAAACTCAAAATCATTAAGGAAAATGTCTCACCTGGTGGTGGGTGCTGTGAATGCCCAAATCCAAAGACCAGGCAGAGGTGAGCCAAATGCAGGTTCTAGAGCCAGAAGCTGAAGATGTCCCAAAGTCAAAGTAGGTCTTCTTGCTTCTCCTAGTGCTTACTCAGGACATAGAGGGGGGATTGTGGGAAGTGTGGTTTTTATCTTTGAGTCAACCATCCATAAAACCAAACACCAAACTCACTGCTGTCAAGTGGATTCGACACAGCAACCCTATGATAGAACAGGCCAGAACTGCCTCTGTGGGTTTTCGAACTGTAACTGTTACAGACGTAGAACACTATATCTTTCTCCCACAGCTGATCATAGCCCCAAGGAAAATTAAGTCACACCATCTAGTAGGGTGAAACTCCTTAGATATGTCCTACCTTAATCCAGTCACAGAGACCTCCCTCCAAAATAGGATTATAACCATAAACAAAGGGACGAGTTTATTATGCACCATAATAGGGATTCTGGCAATATGGGTTATGGCTAGAAGGGCCGTAGTAAGTAATGACTGCAGCTCAGTCTGTATGTTGCTTGTTCTTGTCTTTTTATCTAAGTGGGGTCCTACAATACTTGACCTTTTGTGATTGACTTATTTTACTCAAAATTATTTATAATTTCCTCAAGCTTAATCCACATTGTAGCATGTACCAAGACTTAATTTTCTTCTGCTGGTTAAGCAATAGTCCATTGTATGTATATTCCACATTTTGTTTATCTATTCAGTTGTCAGTGAGCCTGGTCGCACTGTTGAATAAGTGTTAGACTGCTACCTATAAGGTTAGTGATTCAAAGTCAGCAACTACTGCATGGGGGAAAGGTGACGTTATTTGCTCCCATAAAGGTCTACAGTTTTGGGGACCCAATCTAGGGTCACTGTGAGTTGGAAGAGATGTGGTATTACAGGGTCCTTATGAGTTGGAATAGAACAGGTATTTTGATTATCGGCTATTTTGAGTAGTGTGAATATTGGTGTTCAAATCTCTTGAGTCTCTGCTTTCAAGTCTGGGTATGTATCTAGGAGTAGAATGGCTGGTAAATGGTAGGAGAAATGCTGCTACCCTGTTTTCTGTAACTGCTGTTCCTTTTTGTCTCTCTACCAAGGATGGGTAGGTGTTCCCATTTCCTGGAATAGGGACATTTTTGACCATTTGAAATTTTTTCCTTCTATGCCTTTCAAGTTTAAGGCTCTGTCTTAAATTAAAATAACTGTATACTTCAGATTATATAATAATGTGGTTTAGAAAAGCAATGCTTACTTAAGACTTTTTGCAAATTAAATTACACTTAAAATGCACTAGGGAAGTTTATATTTTTAATCTATTGTAATTCCACTTTAAAGGATTTATTTGTTAATATGAATGCTCTAACTTACTGGGTTTACTTATTTGTCCCACTTCTTTGTATTCAGGAATTTATGTTCTATAATTCTCTCTCACATTAAACATTTAGAGAAAGATGTGGGACAGACCCGACCTAGGGTGGGCCACCTGAAATGTGCTTGCTGCTACATGCACACAGCACATAGGCAGGCCTTTTTAAAACTAGTTAAACTAAAAACTGTGTGATTTTTAAGATGCCTGGGATTGTTTTGGTTTAAGAGTTAAAGATTATCTCAAGGCTATTGTTTGAAGGGTTCACCTAGCCTCCATGGTTCTGAAAAGGTCATTCCCAAGAGAATTTGAAATTCTGTCCCACATTCCCCTTTTTGATCCTTAGTCTTCCATAAAAGCATTGATTAGATTGTTCAGGAATGGTACTCAG